ACATTGTCTCGATGCGATTAACATATTATTAATATACATATGTGACAATGTCACTCTGTGATAATTGCATTGATCGGACGACGGTTTCGTAACAAAGCGAATGCCAGTTCTATGAACAAAAATGAAAAAGGCTGACGCGGGGCGAAGTTACGCAAAGCTACAGACGTATCCTCTTTGCACGTCTCTGAAAGAGAAGTCCGTTAATTTATTCCGCGCACAGAGTGCAAAAGGCCCCGGTCAAGCATCCTTTGCATATCTCTGGAACGTGTCCCTTTGTATACTCCAATAGTTTCCGCTTGAATTTCAAAGGGCATCGAATGCCACGATTACGTGTGTGCATGTATGTACAACCACGCGAAAAGCAATTTTCTCTTTCAGTCTTTCCTCGTCCACCCACGCTCGGGTCTCTGTCTGTTCGTGATGAACGGGTAGTCTCGCTGATATTTCGCTTCGACGATGAATATCAGGAAATTGTCGAAATGTGTCACGGTACGAATGCAAATGAAACGAAAGGTCAAACAGACGCTTGTTATCGATGCATTCATGCAAAGTATTCATTATATATTTCGTACGTGGAGAAAATCGCATTTCAGCGAACGTTTCAACGAATATTTCATAAAGTTATATTAAATCAGCTTATCAATGAATCTATTTTACAAGTGTTCTCCTTTCGAACTATATAATTGGAAATCTTATTTGAACGAGACTTTCGAGCTTCACATTTCAGCCAATAATCGAGGGAGAATTGTATTTTTAATTTTATCATTTCACTCACCTGGCGATCAAACAACGGTGGGTTATCGTTAACATCTGTGATTTCAACAGTAAAGGAGCAGACACCTTCCAATGAAGGTTCGCCTTGGTCTGTGGCTTTAACAGTTACGGATACAAATTTCCCATCGTCTCCTTCACGATCAAATACCTAGACATATTAAAATAGTTTTCATAACACGGTATATATTAAAACAGTGCTATTGCAAGCCTTTTCACAGTCAGAATAAGCAAAAGCAATTAATTTGATAAATAATAATGTAATATTGTAAGGCAAATTGAAATGCACCTTGTTCGTTAAAACCTGTCCCGTCTCTTCATCAACAGTGAACTTAGTTCCCTTCTGATTCGGTTGCTGCACTATGGAATATTTCACCTGCCCGTTCACGCCTTTATCTTCATCGGTAGCCTGTACCTTGATCACGGTGCTACCGTTAGGCGCTCCTTCTTCGACTTTCGGATTGTACATGCTGCAGTCCTTGAAAACCGGCTTGTTATCGTTCACGTCCGTGATGAAAACGACGACGACGGCGGTACTGGTGTGAATGGTTTCTTCCCCGTTGGGGCAGCAAGCACCATCGTCCAGAGCAGTTACGTTCAACTCATATTTATCCTTATCTAACGAAATGTTTTTCCCGTGCAAACGGATTACACCGGTGATCTCTTCGATCACGAATTGACCAGAGGTGGTGTTGCCACCGACGAACCGGAACCGAACGTTATCGCCGTCCTTGTCGGAAGCCACAACGGTCGTCACGAGAGTGTTGGGGCCCGCGTTTTCATCCACGTTCGGCGTGTACACCTGCTGCGAGAACTTCGGCTCCTCGTCGTTTTTATTCTTCGTATAAATGCGCACCGTAGCCGCGCCAGTTTTCGGTGGATCACCTAAAAACGTTAAATTATATTAGTTTAAAATAGAACGGAAATGATTAGCACTGAAAAATAGGGAGATGGAAGATATTATCAAAATTAAGTAGCTGCGATGTTCACAATTTTTCATTACATGTAACATTTTACAATATAATTGAAAGGAATTTTCGTAACAATTATGTACTAATATTTTATTCAAAACAATTGAAATCTGTTGAATAAAAATTAAGATACATGGTTTGGTTTGCTCTTTTTTTGGCAAAAATAATTATTAATTTCTTATTAATCTAGACTGTCTTATTACAAGTGGAATAAAATAATTCAATTTCTATAAATACTTTGTAAAAGTGTCGAAAAAATTATTGGTATACCTTTATCTCTAGCAGTAACGACGAATTCGTAATTAGCATTATTGTTGTCCGCGTCGAGTTGCTTGTTGTTGACGATGATTCCGTTCGAATCGACGCTGAAGTGGTCATCGGCCACCAGATACTCTATTTCCGCGTTAACTCCGGAATCCGCATCGGTTGCTTTCACTTTCAGTATACTTGTGCCTAACGATATATCCTCGCCCACGTTATGAGCTTGGTAGTCGGGCAACTCGAATTTCGGTGCGTTGTCGTTCACATCGGAGACTCGTATGGTCAGCTGGAAAACCGCATAACGATTTCAGCGAAACGAATTTCCACAGTGCTCAATCAAATTGATTCCCGGACCGAATTTCATTCGATCCGAACCAATCTGCCAGTGTTTCATAACAAACTGTTTTTTTTTTATAATAAATTGCAGACATAAAATTAATTTTATCAATTAATATCTAAACAAATTAGGATTTATAAACAGAGATTAATTCATTAATCTAAAGAATGAAAATAGTTCGTCGGCGTGAAGTTTCGCGAAAGAGAGATGAATAGAAACGAAGTTTGGTGAACAGGTATTGTGTACCTCGACAGATGTAGAGAATCCACCAGAATCTTCGGTAGCTGTGACTAGTAGGGAATAAACGTGTGGTTGACGGAGATCTTCGAAATCCAATTCTTTAGCAAGCTTCACGATGCCTGTGGTCGGTCCAATATTGAACGTTCCTGCCGCGCCTTGCATTTGTGCCTTCAACGTGTACCGAATTTCCCGGTCAGCGAATGACTTTGCTTTTATCGATATGATACTGGAATAAACAATCGATCATTAAATGAATTGCAGTAAAGGAGACAATGTAAAATCTAAGTAAAATAGATGATATTTTATGATGACAAAATATTAATTACATCTTTAGTAATACTCATATAATTAATTATCTCGAAAACAAAATTGTCGAAGCATCAATGAAAATTGATTTTTTACTAGTAGAGTTTGTGAGTGAATACAGTTTTACAATTTAAAAAAAGGACTCACTCTGAGTCTTTCTTCTGGTTTTCTGGTATCTCGGCTGCGTATTCTACCATGTAGAACTGTGGCGGACGTTTTCCACCTAGGATCGATAGCCGCTGCTCAGGAGTCGACTGAAAACGCTTCTCGTCTATACGACCGTTCTGATCCTCCGCCTTCACGTACAGAACGTATTCCATGTCCAGCTGAAAGAGATCGGTCCCCCGGGTGCGCACCACGCCGGATCGCTCGTCTACCTCGAAACGGCCTCCAGCTGAAAAGTAAAACGCGGCACATTTATTTTTCAGCCGGGTAATTCGACGGCCACCGACATCGAACAAGGAACTCAATGTTTTACAAGGGAATCCCGTGGACATTTTCATGGGAGCCAATCCCCGTGACATTACCGACCATTGTAAGAGATTACAAGTATCATGATTCATTCAGAATTTATTTTCCCCTTTTTCCTTTGAGTTCAAATTGTAATTTCAATGGAGATATGTCTCTTTGGTCGATGCGCATATTTCATGAGGCTCTTTGTTCCACGGGATTCAGTGCTTTTAATACATGTGCAGAGGAGACTGTTGAATTAGTCGCATACGTGAATTGCGGAAAATTCGATAAGTTTTACGTTCGAAAAAACAGCTTCTTCAATAGAAAGATTGACTTTCAAGTTGGCATTCATAATAATTGTAGTGAAAATTTTAGAACGTTTCAACTTTCTCGAATATCTTTTATATAAAACTTGTTGTTTTATAATCGTATTTTAATTTTGAATTTTCAATTTAGTTCGCTCTGTGTGAAAATTTCGTCCAAGTTCAATCGAAAAAAGGTGATGGAATTTTAATTCATTTTTATTGTTCCGTTTATCCAAGTCTGTTTCAACGGGATTTTATTTTCAATCTATGAATAACATTTCTACCTCGCGCCAGCGCATCGTGAAATTCAATATTTTTCTTCCATTCTTTATAAAACTTTTACACTCCTAACTTCTGCGTATTATTTAATCATTCGAGTGAAGGACGATTTTAACTTCCTAGTCAAACGTGTTTTTTTTTTTCTTTTTAATAAAATATTTTAGTTTCACAAGTCCAGGAACATCTTTAGATTACTATATGCATGTACAATCAAACTGTATATTGCGAACAATGTCTACAAACATGATTCCAATTCCGCTTCTATCCGTATTGTCTTAGCTCTTGCAACAATAACCCTTTGTACCCTAGTTTACATGACCCAGTTGCATCTCTGGGTCAATATAATTTCCTACAATTTCAAAATTTGCTCGCACGATTTAATTTCCGTTTGCACATACTAAATAGAATACTACGCAACAATTTCTTTAATTTATCCAATAACAGTCATTATACAATATTAGCTATGAGCTTTCACAAAGACTGTATGATAACTCGACATCATACACGTTTACCCATGATCCGCAGGATTTATCCCGTACTAAAGCGATCAGCGAGGTGATTAAGAAACTTGCCGCTGGTATCGATTATCTATTATAATTTCCTTTCGTAGTTAAGCCATGCCGCCAAATAATTCCCAATCATACGCACGTCGGTTAATTACCACGGATCGATGCCGCGACGTGATCCCGCCGTTTTCTCATCGGCGTTTTCACGCTCCGCACGCGACATACACGCGATACACAATTCACAGGCATAGTATAGCGCGCGTATACGTACTCCGATCCCGTACGATGAAGTAGTGAATATTGTTGTCGGTGTCAGGATCCCTGGCTTGAAGGGTAAACACATGAGTATTCGGCGGTGCATTCAGCTGTACGATCGTTTGCATTGGCAGAGGCCGATTTATGAAGTACGGCGGCTCGTCGTTAACGTCCTTCACGTCGATAATGACACGCTGATTGTCCGTGTCTGTAACAGCCGATCGATTATTGATACGGGTCCGGCTGGTCACCGGGCACTTGCTACCATTAACAGAAAACGCTTGACAGCAACATTCAAAGGCGGTGACCAGTCACGCCATGCCATTTGACATTATATCTTGTCTGACGCTTTGACCTTTGCCACTGTTAAATATATCACGAATGAAAAATCCTCCTGATATATTTATGCTTGCCTAGACGTACGGCAAATTATTTCTGGCGTACGGCGAGAATCTATTATTAAGGGTTCAGATATTTGATTAGAGCTTATTTCAAGGTTGTATGAACCCTTACATAAAAACAATGACAGTTTCAAGCCACGTATAGTTCAATAAAAAATTCCAAGACTATCTATTAGAATGATTAGAAATTATGCGAATAAAATTTAAAATTTTGGCAGATACGACTCATACAACCTTAAAACGAAATTGTAGAAAGGGAGAGATTTCTATTTACGTTACAATTTTTACTCACTGGCTTTCGTTTCTGTAATTTTATACACAATCTTAAGTCAGTGAGTAGAAATTGGGACATTTAAACGAACGATGTTGAAAAATTGAATAAATCAGATCAATGAAAATTTTTCAGGAGTACGGAAACAATTTGCTCAGTGTTTGTAAGGAGGATAATAAATTCTGGCAAAGCATTAAAGCCTCATCTAGGCCAATTCGTAGTGGCGTGAAACATTTTGTCAGTAAAGCTTCCATCGCGAAGGGTACCATCGCAATTTATTGTGTTAAATTTTCCGTCATCGCCTTTAAACACTGTCGAGCGTGACAGCACTCTACGTGACAAGCTCTAACTCGAATAAACGTATAATGCAAGAATTTATTCAAAGCAAGTTACATTCAACTGTAAAAACTGTTCTTATTTACAATGCACGATTATTTCTTATTTATATACA